CTGTCCTTTCAATGGTCTAACGTAGTAGAAAATTGGGAAACCAGGAGAGGTGTCAGGGGTTTTCTGGCTAAGTTCTTGTTCGAGAAGGCTCATCATTTTTGGGATACCTTGGACTTTCAAGATTTTTAAGAGGTGTTAGCCCTTCTCATCTATGGTTTGGTACTGTTTCCTAATCCAGACCAACTCATAGACGTGAATGCGGTTAAGATTTTTCTGTCACGTAATCTAGTACCTACTCTGCTTGGAGATATCCTACATTCGTTTCATACTCGCACTGTAAAGAGGAGAGGAACCCTTTTATGTTGCACACCTCTTTTGGCTAGGTGGTTTATTTAACACCTACCCTGATCCGTCTTGAAGAATGAACAGGGCTTGAGATGGTCTCAAAGGCTTATGACTCTTACACATTCAGGCATTCATTGGTGTCCCCGATTATCGGAGAATGTTACCATCATTGATCGATGCGGAGAATTCCCTAATGTCCCACTCTTAGGAATTAGGGGAGGAATCACTTACAATCCTTGTTTGGCACTACGACATTTTGGATATGCAAGAAGGGATGGTCCTCATGATTCACTTATTCAAGGAATCATCTTCGACTACGAGAATGATGCTCAGGATTACCGCAAAAGGTTCATACGAGCTTGAGGCATGATACATAGAGTTGATAGCAAGACACTGGGGCACAAGAATTCCATCCCTCTTGAGCCTTATCTCAAATGGGTACAAGCTTGTGCTCAAAGTCTTATGATGCATTACCCCTATATTCTCCCAGTTATCATAGAGCCTGTTGTGGAAGGAGATGTCATATACACTATCCTTCATCCCAACATGCCCACCTCTCTCGAAGACTTGCAAAGGGATTGGATACAGCTTAAAGGGGAGCGAGACACTTTCAAGGCCCAATTCTACGCCAACGAGAAGAAGGTTCTAGAACTCACCAAGCAGCTTCATGAGGAGCGGAGTCTGAACGCCTACATCGCACCAAAGAGGATGCGTTCAACTTTTTTATCTTAGAATTTTGTATTTTATTTCTTTCATTATAAGCCCAAAGAGGCATGATGTACTCAAACTTTGATTTATTAATATAACGTGTGTTCCTTTTTGTCTAAAGAAAATTTAAATCTCTAATTTCCTTAAAATCATTGCATATGCATCTTCATTCATCATAACACAAACATGTTTCTTACAACAGTTCTCCTTATCTTTCTACTATTTATTTCAGTAAAATGGATCTTGAGCAGATAGTAAAAGATCTCAAGGCGCATAACTCTCAGTTTCAACAAATGTTCTTGACTCTGGCCAAAGGACAAGAGGATTTGAAAACTTTGCTGATCAAAGAAAAGAAGAAAAAGTGAAGAAATCAACTGGTGTTTTGAATCTAGGAAGAAGGTTCCTGAGGCCAGCCAGACGGACCCTAGACTTCGCAATATCATCAAGTGAAAAGTATAATCAAGAAGGGAAAAGCAAGGAGGTGACTGGCCATCTAGAATCTGAAGAGGAAGAAGAAGATGATTACTCTGAAGAGCAGTATCCTCCGGCTGACGACAAATACAAACATCTGGAAGAGCGTCTAAGTGCAATGGAGATTCAGAAAGTGCTCGGGCTGGACTTTGAAGAGCTGGGTTTGGTGTCTGGGATTGTTATTCCATCGAAATTCAAGGCACCAGTGTTTGCTAAGTACGACGGGGTTTCGTGTCCCAAGATGCACCTCCGATCTTATGTGAGGAAGATACAGCCTCACACTACTGACAGAGATTTGTGGGTCCACTTCTTTCAGGATAGTCTATCCGGGACTCAGCTAGATTGGTTCTATCAACTTGAGAGGGCCAATATCCATAATTGGGAAGACCTAGCTGCTGCTTTTTATAAACAGTATCAATACAACGCAGACCTTGCTCCCACCCGTACTCAACTCCAAAGTCTGACTATGGGTTCGAACGAGGGTTTCAAAGACTACGCTCAGAAATGGAGGGACTTAGCAAGAAGAGTTCAGCCTCCCCTGTCTGATAGAGAGCTAGTAGACATGTTATTGGGTACCCTATATGGTCCTTTCTTTAATCATCTAATTGGAATCTCCTCAGCCGGCTTCACTGAATTAATCTTGACCGGAGAAAGAGTGGAAGTTGGGATTAAGAGTGGGAAGATCCAAAAGGACGCATCCTCCAGTGCCGTGAGAAAACCATTTATTAGGAAGAAAGAGGTGGGTGTTGTGTACCCTCAAAAGAATCAGGAAAGAACTGAACGCCGTCCAACGGTAGGGGCCGTCATTATCCCTAAGCCTGCACCTACTCAACAAAGGAACAACCAGCCTAGAACAGAAAGACCAGTAAGAATGAAAATTCAAAATAACCACCTCATAAAGGAGTTAAATCACAATTAGTAATTGGACATCATAAGTTCAAGAGTTTGTCGTGTAATTTTGATGCCTTCAATGGCACATTACCCTTACTAGTGATTAATCTTCCATGTAAATTATTCTCGTAGCGTTCGAGTCCTACTTTATAAGCCGCTTCAGGTATCTTGATCGAGATACAATTACCTTTGAAGCAAGGTTGGGAAAATTATAAAGTGGTATAACACACACATTTCGAAGAGCTTGTGCAAAGGATTATATATTGTTTAGGTTGAGATGGAGACATAGGAGTCATTCAAGGAATAAGATCTGACCATGGAAGGTCTCCATGCCAATGGCCTGCACTAGAGGAGCCTGTGTTGATTAGGTTTTCTTTCAAACCCTAACAGAGTGTCCCATAAAACCAGGTTCCGTGTGAAAACAATATGTCATTCCTCGTTCGTTGTTTCAACGATTCAAATGGTGAAAGTGTAACACTGTCTTATGAGCGTTAGGTCTAAAAATTAACTCGATTCAATGTTTAATGAACTCATAATCGCTAATTTTGTGAATTTGATCAGAAAAACAAAAATCTCTAACCAAAATCCTCAAGTTGCTCATTTTTTCCTCTCTCTCTCTCTGAAATTCCTAGAGATAATTTCTCCAAGTTGAAATATCATATAATTTCAAATTTTAAATATATAAATATGAAATTTTATTTTAGTTAACTTTTATTCTATCATGAGTTCGTTAGTTATACATTTTAAAAAAATATTTTTATGTTAATAAATGACATAACTTTTAAAAATATATCTCAAAAATTATTTTTATGAAGAGTTATTGAAAATAGTTTTAAATTAAGCAATTTTTTAAAGTTTTAATATCTAAAAAAGTTTAGAAAAAAGATAAAATATATAAAATACATTTAATGAAAAGCTATTCAAACCTATTTTTTAGATTTTAATAAAAACTTGTAAGTTGGTTGTTTCAAAAATATTAATATTATAAATATCATTTATAAAAAAAAACTGAAGCAAACATCTATCATAAATCGTAAATTTAGTAAATTGACCTTTTCTGTTCCTATTTTAAGGGAAATTAAGAAGAAGAAATCAAAACATTAGTTTCTAAGATCAATTAAGATCCATTTATATCTTGAAAATTTAAGGATTCATTCTCATCACTCACTGAAAACTATGGATTCCAACTTGTCTTCCACTCATTCTGCACTTCCTCCTTGCATTGATAAACTCAAGGAGGAGTTTACTTGCGCCGTAAGTAAGATGACCCTTGATATTAATCTTCCATAAACTTTAATTATTGTTCATGTTGTGTTGATGATTTTTTGTTCATTCACTTTTACAGATTTGTTTGAATGTATTCTTTGAGCCAGTTACCATATCTTGTGGTCACAGCTTTTGTAGAAATTGTTTGTTAGTTGCCACGGATAAGTATAAGGAGAGATGCCCGATTTGCAGACAGTGGATTAAAATAAGGTTTATGTTTATAAAGTTTCAAATTTTACAAAATCACATTTTTATAAAATGTATGGTACTAATTGTTATTTGTGTTTTCAATTGTTGATATTTTGCAGTGAAGAAAATTTTCCTAATGTGAGCATAGTTATGTGGAACACAATACAAGTATTGTTTCCTCAAGAAGTGGAATCAAGTACCTCAATTGCTTCACAAGAAGCTGATAATATGATTATTGAAAGAGATGACCCATTTGCACAACCAAATGATGATATGGACAGGCTATTCAACCGACTAGACGAGGTTGTGGAAAATAGACTTCCTCTTAGCAACATTTTGAGCGAAATTAGACTTCGTTGCGTGGAATTAAATGCAGCAGTTTCTCGGCTCCAGGACGGATCAATTCCTCCTCCTCCTCCCCCTCCCTCACCATCTTAAATTTCTCTTTGACAATGATGATAGTTGGTCTATACTCTTTTTGTGTGATGATAAACAAAAGAGTACTAAACATGAGATTTGAATTTGATGATGTTTATAGTATGGATTTAACTATTTTCTATTAATAAAAAATTCTGAATTAAAATTTTGTTTTATGAATATAATCAAATGAAATTTTATTGAGAATGTTGTGATTTGTTCACACCGTGACAACCACAATCTAAAACGCAATATCTATACCAAATCAATGCCTTTACGCGACTCCAACGCGGAACGCAACCATTATTTAAAACCTTGATAGGCAAGTGATATTGGCATTGTGATAGCAAGTGCAAGACCTTCCTAGACCAATTAATATAATATGAAATATTTTATAATGTATGGTTGAGGTATCCAATCCAGGTGCCTATTAAGAATCATAATTTAGGATATTTTACTTATGAAAAATATGAAAGGTAACAATAATTTGCTGCAATGAACTTACACAATCATATTTTACTTGTTGAAATGAATAACCCCTTCTTCACTACTTCTACCTAACCTTGAATTCAGACAAAATCCAAGAAAATTATCAAAATATTAGTATAATTCTTCTTTCTTGCAATACAAACATTCACCAAATTTATTATAAAAAAAAACTATTTTACTTGCAAGTTTTAGCTTCCTTTTTCAAACTCCTAGTTCTATAAATTATGAATAACAATTAACAACCAATGCAAAATTCAAACACTTCATATTTTCTTTCAATAACCATGAAATCACTTTCAATTGCATTTTTTGTTCTCGTGCTTCTCGTCCTTGTTACCTCAAACTCGGAGGCTGCAATCTCATGCACTGATGTGATTAAGGACTTGAAACCTTGTGTGAGCTACTTGGTTAGTGGAAGTGGACAACCACCAAGTGAATGTTGCACTGGAGCTAAATCTCTTGCCTCTTCTGTATCAACATCTGAGGATAAAACAGCTGCTTGCAACTGCATCAAATCTACTGCCAAGAGTTTCAAAATCAACTCACAGTTGGCTCAGTCTCTTCCAGGAAACTGTGGAATAAACCTTCCAATCAGCATCTCCCCAGATGCAGATTGTTCCAAGTAAAATATCATAAACTAAATGCTTCACAAATATATTACTTTTCTTTATGTTAATCCATCCTAATAACTATGACTGTGAAAAGTTCGTAAATCCTAGCTCAACTGGCGAAAGACCGATATAGTTAGATTAGAAGTTGACACTAGGGTTTTTAACCCTAGCTCTAAACCCTAGCTCAACTGTGTTTTATTAATGTTTTGTTGCTGATCTTTTGTAGGATTGGTTAATTGTGACATGGAAGTGAGAATTGGAGGGTCATGCTGATAATTTTCTGCTACTAAATATGTGTATGGGAATGTTACATGTTTTGTTGTAATAAATAGGAATCTACCTATGTGGATTTCTGTGTTATGTTCATCTATGTTTTTCAATTACTTGTTTGAATGTTGTTCCCAATTTAACTTAATGGTTGAGCCACTTATGGCCCTGTTTCAATTTCATAAATGTTTGTTATTTTGCTATAGTATAGCTATATCTATATGAAAAATAATGGCATTTACTTTTGTCAAAAAAAAAGTTGTTATTTCCATATATTCTTTAGGGAGCCCCTGATTTGGACATGTCTAAAGAGTCTAATTAATTTTCTAAAGAGTCATATATTACTTTCTATACTAAATATATTTACTGTTTATCGTATTTATATAATATTTTTTTATTAAAATAATACTATTTAAATTTATTTTATAACATAAATATAAAGTTGTGTTATTAATCAACTTGACAATTATATTAACTATAAAAATATATTATTAATCACTTATTTTACTTATAATTTATTAACCACTTTCACTACCTTATTAATCAATAAAATATATAATATTAACCTGACACTAAATTATAAATATATTAACTAATTTTTATATTTTATTAATTAATTTTATTTTACTATTTAATTCTTTTATGTTTGAAAACTCATTAATTATGAATTATATTAACTAATTTTATATAACTATTAACTAAAGTTTAAAAGATATAGATATTAACTAAATTTTGAACGATGTTTATCAAATTTTAATATTTTATTAATAAAAATAATTTTAAAGAAAAACTAAAAATATATTAAAAATAAAATAATAATAAAATCACTATTGACGTATTTGTGAACTGTTTATTAGATATAGGTGTATGGAATTGATGTCGCGATATCATTTCTCTTTTTTAAAATCACCTATCAAAATTTTGAGTATCAAATGACAAACCATGAAATAACTGTGATTTTACAAAAGCGCACACAAAATTATCGATCATTAGTGGAGAATCATTAAAAATAAACAGATAGCAAAAAGAACATCGGAAATATGATAGATAGAAACATTTAGCATATATTAAGATCCTAAGCATTGAAATTGAAACAATTGAACGAATATTGAAATGTATTAGCATATCAAACAAGTAATCATGGAATAATAATCAGAGATATAGAGTTTTACATTTTAACAACGTTGATAAAAACTACAACATTAATATTAAATATGTAACATACTATGTGTTGGCGATTTTGTATCACCAATGTATTTTAGTAGTAATGTGATTTCTAAAGGCCGATGCAATTATGCGTTAAGTTCGGAGACGAGTTAGGGAAGTGCAGAGTGCACGCTCGTCGAGCCAATGCATAATTGAATATGAATAATTGAAACGGGGTTCCAAGGGGCGAAGCCCCTGGCGGGGTGCGGGGCAGCGCCCCGTTGGGGTTCCAAGGGGCGAAGCCCCTGGCGGGCATAACTGTTCCCCAACGGACATAACTGTTTCCCAACGGACATAACTGTTTCCCAACGGACATATTCGTTTCGAACAAATGTGTCTCTTCGTTTCAATTACTGTTCTCCTATATAAGGAGTCGTTCGGCCTCGGTCTCACATACAGAAAGACGCATCATTCTCTCTATAATTACAAGTCGTTTCTTTTGTCGGAAACAGAATTTCTTCGAGAATTATCCCCACAAAGATTTCGTGAACTCAGACAAGAATAGGGTCGAAATACTTTGTTCGGAAAGTGTACGAACACGATTCATCGAAGTTATCCAGGATTATCACACCCTAAATTTCTAACACTATGAGCATTTATTATAGAATTTAATAGGTTTGTGGCGGTTTGAATTTTAGTAATATTTATTTTTTTATTCTTTATAAAATTGTATTTTTAAATTATTATAATGTATTGACTGTAAAAAAAATTATATTAACCGTGTTAATCTTTTTATTATATTCAAATATTTAGATAATATTAACAGGTAATGACAATTAGATACATATTGATACATATTATCATATGAACAATTATTACTTTTGATTTTTTTAGACATATTCACAATATTACAAGTCATGTAAAAATAAATATATTTTTTAAAATACATTCAGATATGTAGTCAAAAATTAAGGTCAAGAAAATAAGTGGAAAATAAAAAATTAAGGGAAAAGAGATAATACTAGAGTTTTATAGATATTTGGTTTTAAAAAAGTGACATACTCCTTTCTAAGAGTTAGTCTCGAGAGTATCTAACAATACTTGAAAGTTTTTAGAAGGTTATGTTTATGAACTCTTTTATACAAAAAAAAAACGAAGTTTTAAGTTTATTTATAAGCAAACAATGAATAGTGAAATGAAGCAATAAGTTTTCACGCCAAAAAGCGAACAAAGTCAAACGTAGATTTTGTATATGACTTATCTCAAATTAAGATAGAGTTTTGAATTGACTATCCTCCAAACTAAATCGGAGTTTTACACTGAGCTAACCACAAACCGAATCAAGAGTTTATAACATGTTGATCTCAAACCGACTGAGCTTTTGTAAAGGGTTGAGCTCAAGAACCAATGTGAAGATTTTCCACAAGTTATTCTTCATAAACCTAGAGGGAGATTGTTTTTCCTCGACTACGGAGCTCACGAACCAAATAGAGGGTAACACTAATCCCCTAAAAAATGTTGTTAACATGTTTAGCTCAAAACCTAAACAATTACTTCCTAAGAAATAATAATTCACTCAAGAGAAAAAAATACCTCTTAGTGAATTTACAATAATGCCCTTTCTTGAAACAACTTCCTCGCTAAAGTTAAGAACGTTTCTCAAAACACTGTGGTTAAAAATACGAGAGAAAGAAAAATAATTTAGAGAGAGAGGGGAGGGAGAGAGGAAGACGATATATCTCATGTTTTCTAGATGAAAAAAATGAAGCGTGAAGCCTCTATTTATATGACAAATGATGATTCAAATTAGGAAATAAATCATGGGTAAAATTAATGTCCTAACCGATTAGGAAAATGCAATAATTGATTATTGTTGTTCAAATTGGAAGATTTTGATAGGGAGTTGTTACCATTCATTAATATATTGCCATAATTTATTATAGACTAGTTGTAATGTGATCTAAAACCCCTCTTTGAATCACTTTTGAAAATTCCCCTTGTAAATATATGAAAAAGTGCCATGAAGTTAGGTCAAAATTCTGCCTAAACTAGGGCAAAATTTCACTAAGTGTTTAATTTCAAGACCATGACTTCATGAATTAATAACTTGAAATCCAAGCATTTATAGGAGAAGTTGTGTAAAGCAATATTGTAGATATAATGGAGATCTACAACTTTGATGTTGAAAGTTTCTTTTGAATCATCTTGCATCATGGTGAAAAATTGGCTCAAAGTTGTGAAAAAATATGAAGTTTTCAACACTTAGAAAATTTTCTAAGTTTGAAAACTTTGACTTTTCAAAATGAAATCTTGACTTTTTGATTTATTGATGAATAAGTTTAATATTTTGACATGTTTTGATAACTTGTGATCTTTGACACTTGATTTTGACCAAAAAGTCAAAGTTTGACTTTTCAGTATACAATTGACTTTTGATCAGTTGACTGAAAATCAACTATCAATCAAATGATCTTGAGCAATGTTTTGAGTCATGCCATTAGGTTAAAATGATGCAATTGAAATCTTGAGATCATGTCTCAAACCAACTAACCACTTGCTAGGTCAAAAATAAAAAATTGCCTTTTCTCAATCAAAACCCTAATTTTGACCATTTTGCCCTTTTGATGATTTGATCAAATTTCTTGAGGAATTATGGTCCAAACTTGATAAAATGATACATATGAAATTATAATGTTGAAGTGGATCAAAAATTATGAATTTTGACTGTAAATTGGCCACAGTTGACTTTTTCCCCAATACAATTAATTTTTAGGTCAACTGCTCAATTGACTGAGCAAAAATGTGATCCAAGGCTTGAAACTTGAAATGAGTAATATTTGGGGTCCATAATGATCCATGAAAGTCATATGAGGCATTGAAAGTTCAATTATCCTTTCGCAATCTCAAACCCTAATTTTAGTCATCAGTGCTTAAGGAGGTGTCTTGAGCTGATCAAACTTTGTGCAGTCTTGAACCAAAGGAGATCTTGTGGGAAAATAATTGATAAATGAGAGGGAAAATTTTGGGGTACAATAGCTGCCCCTGTTCAATCTTCTTAAACCTGAAGAGTTAGATTGGTGGATCCGCCATTCGTGGCTTAAAGCTGGAAGATGACTGGACACTAGAGTGCCTAGAAATTTGCACTCGATGATGTGGTGGTTGATGGTGTAGGGAATGGGCTTAAAGATGCCATTTGGAGAGATGATGGAAAGTTGTTAGAGATGGACTTATAGATGCTATCCAAAAATGACTGTTGGCAGGAATAGAAGAAGTGTCAGAATAAATCTGGTTGATTTATACTGAAATAATGGATGTGTTGGGTTGAGTACCAGAATAATATCCATAAATGGATTGTATTTGACTCGTATTTGAAAGCTGAAACTGAATGAGTATCAGAATGGCGCCCGTATCTGGAGCGTATCTGAACTGTATCTAAAAGCTGAATCTGAATGAGTATCAGAATGGCGTCCGTATCTGGAGCGTATCTGAAATGTATCTGAAAGCTGAATCTGAATGAGTATCAGAATGGCATCCGTATTTGGAGCGTATCTAAACTGTATCTGAAAGCTGAATTTGAATGAGTATAAGAATGGCGTTCGTATCTGGAGCGTATCCGAATTGTATCTGAAAGCTGAATTTGAATGAGTATCAGAATGGCGTCCGTATCTAGAGTGTATCTGAACTATATCTGAAAGATGAATTTCAATGAGTATCAGAATGACGTCCGTATCTGGAGCATATCTGAACTGTATCTGAAAGAGTGTATGAGAAGAAGCCCGTGTAGGATTGCTTTAGTTGGTCGGTAGATAATTATCCTGGCTTG